GTGGCACCTGTGGTGGCGGCAGAACAGGAAAAGACTAAGCAATAATGCCTGACGGGCGGTTATCCATCCCTTAACACATCCCTATCACATATATATCAGGCAGCTTTAAACTGTAGTAACTGTTATTTATCAACCTTAATTGTAGGGCGGGATATAGCCCGCTAGGACCTTGACCTGTGGTGACAGCAGAACGGGAAAAAGACTAAGGCCGGCACCGCTCCTCGTCATAGGCCTACGGTTTCAATCCTCAATTTACATTTTTTGTTTCTTATGGTTCTCACCTGAACACTTTACGGTATATTCACTCATTTTCTTATAAACACATATATTAATCTAACTTATACACTAAGGTCAGGTCTTGGTTTGCCAGTGCTTGGTTGAAATGCCACTGGAAGTTTTAATATCAACAGGCATCTGAGGCGGGTACATGACGCGCCCAGCAAACAAAAAGCCGAATGATCATGGCGGGGTGTATCAACTTCGCAAAAGCTATGTGGGGGATCCTCCTCTCACACAGTGCACTATTTGAGCAGACCCTCAGATTCTCTGATCACTGTACACTGTCATGTGGGTATATGTCACGTGAGGCTACAGGGTGTATTAAATTCATACCGACGCATACACGACAATTTCCTTTCCAGTATAGTTTCTAGATCACTGTCAACACCTCCATAGTTCTGATACATTTATCCTTTTCAGATCATTGTTCTCATGTATTTTCATATGATATCTGTTGGAGTTAGGTTCGCTACACGCTCACAGACGTAAATAGTATGACCTTCAAGCCCTGCTCCACACTTAAGTGCGCGTACCCTAGTCCGGCAACTTCAGACTTTAACATTCATCTTATATGCCTACCCTGAGTGATCCTTAATGCTATGAATACATACACTTGATATGATATAATTATACCTGGGTACAATACCACACACATGGTCTAGGAACCTTGATGGTGGGATTGTCCTTTCTCAATGTTTCCCGTTTTCTGGGGTTCTACAAGCGCTGTGCATTTGAGATGTTATTATTATTATTATTGTGTGTGTGTGTGTGTGTGTAGTATTATTTTTACTAATATTATTTTATTAATATCATTTTATTATTTTTATTTTATTAATTTGCTAGTAATTTTATTAATTGTTGTAATTATTTTAATATAATAGATATTGTCATGATAATTATTATTTATTATTATATCTTTGCCCCCAAAGCTGATGTGGGTCAGTGAAGCCTGTGCAGGTGGGCTAATACCCGTAAAAAAAAAAAAAAAAAATATATATATATATATATATATATATATATATATATATATATATATATATATATATATATATATATATATATATATATATATAAATATGTAATGAGACAAATCTCACACATGAAGAAGATTGATTACATATATATAGGTAGAATATTTAATGAAAGTAAAAAAGAGAGGAAGATTTTTGGTAGCGTGGCGTGATAGTTATTTACACTTATAGAAGTATCTTATACGTCAATACATCTATTCGTCTTAAGGGGAGACTTCTCAAACACAGCCGTTACAACTCTTTGTGTAGTACGAACATGACATGGACACATTAATAACACCTTCTATTAGCGTTACTAGGACATTATATTCACGTTACTAGACACTCTATTACCGGACACGAACATGGAAATGAATACACTTCCCAAATAAATTAACTCATCCGCTTAGAGCTCTGACAAACACTCCGTGACCTAGAGAGAGCCCTAGCAGGTGGTCCTGGGTTGTCTCTATGAGAACTGCTTAGCTGGGCACGGAGGAAGTCTCGGTCCTGACCGGGCGACTGAGCGACCGGAGGCAGCACTGCCTCGGCCTGACTTCTCGAGCAGGACTGGGGCGTGGCTGGTCCTTGGATTTACAAGACACACTCTCTCTCTCTGTCCCTCTCTGGCTCTCTCTCCTGCGTATCTCTCGGCTGAGGAGGACTAGGCGTCCTATATATTGGGAGGCGAGCCGTCAGGTTGAGCTGGTCGGGGGGTGGGCGGCGAAGGGGTCTCCTTGCTGACCTGGCCAATGTGAGGTCAGGTCAGACTTTTCAGATGTAGGTTATTGTGTATTTTGGGAGAGAGTCGGCAGTGCCTTCTTACATGTTTGTTGTGGTGCCGTGTCACATGGGAGAGGAGCCTGGCTGGATTTATAACCCTTAGTCAACCCGTGAGGAGTTACCCTACACTTGACCTCCTAATGTCGAGGTCCAAGACTGGACTGTCTCTCTCTGAGATATGCGGTCTGACAACCCCATCACTACAATATATATATAAATATATATATATATATATATATAAAACTAAAAAACTAATAATAAATAAATAAAATAAATAAATACACTTATTGGAAGTGACCATATAGTAACATTCTGAGATGTTCTTAATATTACCACTGTAGGTTTCGTGATATTATGTTGTCTAGCACTCAGGATGGATGGAAACTCTAAGGTGGTGATTTCTTATATAATATAAGTTATATGGTAGACAGTCTGGTGCTGGAGATGCCGTGTGGTGAGGAGGCTGCTCAGTAGACACGTTCGGTGAAGTAGCGTGCTGAAGGAAATAGATGTGCAGGAACTTCGCAATTAGAAAGATGTTGCCTGTTGCTGGCCTCCAGGTTGAATGAGAGCTGGACAGCGAGGAAGCTTGCTTGGAGGAAGTGTTGCGTGTTCAGGAGCGTAGAGTAGAATAAAGAGCTGGTTGGTGGGGCGGCTCAGAAAGGACAGCTGGTGGGTCGCCATGCTCGCCTCGCGAGAGCGGGACCGCCAGGCAGGCGGAGAAGTGAGGGCCGCCAGGCAGCGGAGGAGGAAGTGTTGCGTGTTCAGGAACGAGGCCAGAATGAATCTCAATGGAGACAGAGCTTATATACACAGCAGCCAAGTAAATCAATGGGGAATCGCCGGTTTTCTTGACTCCGTTGCTAGGATACTGTGGCATCTGGTGACGCCCCCCCCTGGGCCGCTCGTTTGGTTGCTAGGGAAGACGTAGCAGGTGGCTGGTTGCTAGGATACTGTGGCATTGGAATGCGGCTACTCAGTTGTAGGGGAGACGTCCACTACAATGCTCCCCCTTCCCTCCAGGCGGTGTAGGAGACTTGTTGTCTGCAGAGTTGCTTAGCACATGTGAGGCAGAATGGGCGGTGCATGCCTCATGTGAGACAACGGCGATGGCGTGGATGAGCCTGTCGCTGGATACAACTGTCTAGATACACACTATCTGTGGGAGGAGAGAGGGAGAAAAAGGGTGTTTGGAGGCGATGAATGTTGTGCTTCCCTCATGACAGGTACAGAGTCATCAGATGCGCCTGCTGGGGTGTGTGGGCCTGGGTCAGGAGCAAGGGCTGCGTCAGCAGAAGCGGATGAGGGCTCGTGACAGCAGCTGGGTCCACGACAGCAGCAGGGTGCAGGACATTAGCAGGGAGTACCTGAGGGAGAAAAGAGGGGTGTGTGGGTCCTCACTCAGGAACAGAGGCCACGTCAGGGGCGGTAGGGGTTACTGCTGGGCCGGGGTCGGCGTCTGAGGCAGGACGGGTGTGCTGGGGTCGTCAGATGCGCCTGCTGGGGTGTGTGGGCCTGGGTCAGGAGCAAGGGCTGCGTCAGCAGAAGCGGATGAGGGCTCGTGACAGCAGCTGGGTCCACGACAGCAGCAGGGTGCAGGACATTAGCAGGGAGTACCTGAGGGAGAAAAGAGGGGTGTGTGGGTCCGCACTCAGGAACAGAGGCCGCATCAGGGGCGGCAGGGGTTACTGCTGGGCCGGGGTCGGCGTCTGAGGCAGGACGGGTGTGCTGGGGTCGGTAGGACGTGGTGCTTGGGGCAGGAAGAGGAGCTGGTGTCTGCTTAGAGTAGCAGAGCTGCTCTAGGGTGTCTAACCTGCGGTGTAGAGACAGTAGTTGTAAAGCCGATGAGAGCTGCTTCTATGTGGATAAGCCAGTCTTCCATGCTGCTTGATGGTGGGAGCGTAATCAGTTTCTCCTCCATCCTGTGTGCGTGCGAACCTCTGGGAGTCACCATTTGTAGGGTTTCGTGATATTATGTTGTCTAGCACTCAGGATGGATGGAAACTCTAAGGTGGTGGTTTTCTTATATAATATAAGTTATATGGTAGACAGTCTGGTGCTGGAGATGCCGTGTGGTGAGGAGCTGCTCAGTAGACACGTTCGGTGAGTAGAGTGCTGAAGGAAGTAGATGTGCAGGAGCTTCGTTAGAGAAGATGTTGCCTGTTGCTGGCCTCCAGGTTGAATGAGTGCTGGACAGCGAGGAGCTTGCTTGGAGGAGGTGTTGCGTGTTCAGGAACGTAGAGTAGAATAAGAGAGCTGGTTGGTGAGGACGCTCAGAGAAGGACAGCTGGTGGGTCGCCATGCTCGCCGGCGGGAGAGAGGGCCGCCAGGCAGCGGCGGAGGAGGAGGTGTTGCGTGTTCAGGAACCGAGGCCAGAATGAATCTCAATGGAGAGACAGAGCTTATATACACAGCAGCCGAAAGTAAATCCGGCAGAAGACGTAGCAGGTGGCTGGTTGCTAGGATACCGTGGCATTGGAATGCGGCTACGCAGTTGTATGGGAGACGTCCACTACACCACCATACTATTGTACTATTCCAGATGATACTAAATGTTACATAATACTTCCTTGAGATAAAGGTATAGTATATACCAGGTGCCTCAAAGAGAACTCAGGTGCTCAACTGGCTCAGCCATGTTAATATTGTTATTATTATCCACTCTGAATCTGTAATTTTTCTGGCTAAATAAACTGTTTCAATTCTGTTTCAATTCAAATTTTTATGACGAATTAAACAATTAATATAGTGATTACATTTTATTTTAGGGTTAAACAAGGTAACCTCTTATATTGTTTTTCTTTAGATGAAACAAAACGACTTATGACTGTATAAGATGAAACATTTGTTATTCTACCATAAACACAATTGGCAACTCAGAATATCAAGCAATCAGCTTCAGAGATTAGAGAATCCGAGTTCAGACCTCCCTCAGTCACCGTGGATGCTTGTACCTCTGCGGTACCTTTCTGGTCATACGACTCACTTAGACACTTTGAAGTAAGTGTACTGTAATTTTTTTTAGTAGTTTAGTTTTTTGTACCAATCTTATAATAATAATAACCTTGGGACAGATATGTACCTCTCCTACTTTTTATATATGTAGTACTGTATTGTGTTGGAGTGCATCAACACACAAGTCGTAATATGGGACTGTCACGTCAAGGTCACAAAAGATAGGTGGTGCCATATGGTGGGTCATTCATTAACTAAGCTATTTCTCTAACTACTGGGAATGTGATAGTAGTTCACCATAAATTACAGCGGAGGCAAGGGAGAAATTAGAATGTATAATTAAGGTTAATTAAAATGTTAGCATATTTTGTAAATTATATTTCGTTTGTCCACTTGATCATTAAGAAGCAATTATCAGAGTAATAATAAAGATTATTATTATTATTATTATTATTATTATTATTATTAAGCCGACAATTAGAAGTCCATCACATGGTAAACTGGTGGGCTTAAGGCTGAGGAGATACGTACAGAGTCTGGTCCCCCCCCACCCCCCCTAACTCCACAACAGCGACAGTCATAAGGTGTCCAAGGAATCAGGTGCTGAAGCGTCACCAGGAAGTCTGTTGACATGCAATTACTGCAGGGCGACGTCGGATATACTGTAGATTGTGATGGTCTGAGCGATCCAACGTTTAGGACGATACAGAATGCGGTAAAGCAGGAAGGCTGTTGCTGGTATTGCCCTGACTTAACAGACAAAGTGAAAGAGGCGATTGTAAGCAATCGGGAAACGAGTTTCCTAGGGACGAAAATAGATAAAGCTGGATCCTTGCTGGTTGCCATACTAGAGCAAATTGGGAAAGAGATCCTTGCTAAGTTGGTTGCTAAGAGCAGTTATGCTCAGACCTTAACAGGGCCACGGGAGGTGGCAGAGAACAATGCAGGGTCCGAACAAGTTCTACAGCAGCTTGGGACTCTGAAGAAGTGTGTCAAAGAGATGGCAACTAGCAGACATACTGTTGGGGGAGATGAGGTACATCAGAAGCATTTCGAGCGCAGGAGCAACATAATAGTTTTTGGAGTCCCTGAAAGTCAGTCGGAGGAAGCTGAGAGCAGGAAAACACACGATATGTTGCAGTTTGAGAATATTTGTATAGAGGTTCCGCACATATCTGCCCCCCCTCAGGATGTGAGGAGGCTGGAACAAAAGCAGGAGGACAAGCCTCGCCCCCTCAGGCTCACACTAGTGAGTGAGGAGAGGAAATGGCACGCAAAAAACTTAGCAGGGAGCGAGGCATTTCGGAATGTATTCATTCACCCAGATCGCACTGTAATACAGAGGGAACAGCACAAGAAGCTCCTGCAGGGATTGAAGCACAGGAAGGAGGAGTCGAGGAGGAACGGGGACGGATGTACATGGATTATATCCAGGGGGAGGGTAGTGGAAGCAAGAGCACATCCCAAAGCCAGGGGAAAGCAGTACACCCTCCACCCGCTCTACAGTACCTCCCACCCAGGAGGAGGCGAGCGCCGTGTAAACAATGACATTTCTAACCACACACCACTGAAGGCACACCAACCCGATATAATGGGTGTTGTAGAACTGTTGTACAAGAACAAGAGAATCGACTCAGAGGAATGTGAGTTCAGTGTTGACGTTATGACTTATTTACGAACCTTTCTCGAGAAACTTGCAAGAGGGGTTGTGGTTATCTATGCAAGGCAAGACCTTAAAGCCAGCCAGGCGAGGGTACAGGGAGAGGAAGTTTTTGAAGAGTCAAAGTGGTGGAAAATTAAACTAAAGGGAGGGGACTTGCTTTTTGGCGGGTGTATCTACAGATCCCCAAACTGTGGTCCATTAAATCAAAGGAACTTAAGAACTTTAATAGACAACGCGGCGATGCTCAACCCTAGCCACATCCTTATCACGGGGGACTTTAACTATGGCGACATCGACTGGAGAAACGAGTTCACCCCCAAGTGACTTGAATAACCCTGCTACTCTTTTTGTAGAAACTCTGAGAGATAATTTTCTGTTCCAACATGTTAGAGACCCGACACATTACAGAGGGGAGCAAACACCCAAGCCACTAGACCTCTTCATAACAAACGAGGAAGGTATGGTGGCCAAACTGGAACACCTTGCCCCAGTTGGCACCAGTCACCATATAGTGTTGTCATTCAGATTTAACTGTTACCTAGTTCAGGAGAAGGCCAGGCCAAGGTGCAAATATTACAGAGGATATTACAACGGAATGAGGGAAGAGATGAGGAGTATCCACTGGCCTGACTCATTAAGACACACGAACGCAGACACTACGCTGAATATCATAACTAGTAAAGTGACCTATTTGATCGATAAATACATACCCAAGACCAAACCCAGTGCCTCTAGGAATACGAGGGGATCCCTACACATGAACCATGCGGAAGTCGACAAAGTTAAGAAGAAAACCCAGAAATTCAAGACGTGGGTTGGGTCAAATGATGAGCAGGACAGGAGGATGTATGCAAGAGCCAGAAACCAAGCAAAATTAGAAAGTAGAAGGGCTGAAAAGGAGTTCCCGAGGCTGGTTGCAAGCGAGGTCAAGTCAAACCCAAAAGGGTTTTACCGCTATGCAAAATCGAAATTAAAAACGCGAATAGGAGAATCAGACCTGAGGCTTGAAGATGGTAGTTACACAGATTCTGACCAGGATAAAACTGAGGCATTGAACAGTTTCTTTTCCTCGGTGTTCACAAGAGAGAATGCGATTAACCTTCCTGCGTTTGAGGACAGACGGTTCGACACAGCACTGACCCACATTGTGTTCACAGAAGAGGGTATTGTATTAGATATAAACTGTCAAAGCTAAAGGTCCATAAGAGTCCCAGCCCTGTCATGGTGCATCCTAGAGTGCTAAAAGAGTTGAACAGCTAGCTTGCCGAGCCCCTGAAGATCCTGTTTTGTAAATGCCTGGATGAACAAATGGTCCCCAGTGAATGGAAATTGGCTTATGTGAGTCCTATCTTCAAGAAGGGCGATCGTCACTCCACGAACAATTATAGACAGGTGAGCCTGACCAGCATAATATATAAAGTACTTGAGAGTATTATCAGAGATGGAACATCTACTACGAAACAACCTTGTAAAGGATTACCAACACGGTTTTATGCCGGGGCGCTCCTCCTTAACACAATTGCTCAAGGTATTGGATATTTAGACCCATATTCTGAAACGGGGTGGTAATATCGACAATATTTATCTAGATTTTGCCAAGGCTTTCGACAGTGTACCCCACGAAAGGCTGAAAATCAAACTGGAAGGGTACGGAATTCGGGGAAATGTCCTAGCGTGGATAAAAGACTTTCTACATGACTACAAGCAGTGTGTGGTGATTAATGGCATGAAATCATCATCCTTACCTGTCACAAGCGGGGTACCACAGGGCAGTGCATTGGGCCCGCTGTTGTTTGCTTGTTTCATAAATGAAATGCCTGACGTTGTACTCTCCTCCATACAAATGTTTGCCGATGTCGCCAAGTTATTTCGGGAAATCAAGAACCAAGCGGACTGTGAAGAGCTGCAGAATGGTCGAAGAAATGGCTGCTGAGATTCAATGTCACGAAGTGTAAGATGATGCACCTGGGGCGTACCAACGGTAAGGAGACGTATCATAGGTCCCAACGGGATGAAGAAACTGCACTATTTGAGACTGAATGTGAGAAGGACCTAGGTGTGTATGTTGATAATGAGCTGAAGTTCTAGGGCCATTGCGAGAAGAAGGTAAATCGGGCAAATAAATTATTGGGTCTTATAAGAAGGTCGTTCAGATATCTAGATGGTCCGTCCCTCGTAACGATCTTCAAGAGTGAAGTGCTTCCCCATCTGGAGTACTGTCACCCCGTCTGGTCCCCGAGATATGCTAGGGTCTGTCAGTTGGTTGAAAATGTTCAAAGGAGGGCCACAAGACTGGTGCCTGCCCTTCGGCACCTCAGCTACCTTGAGAGGTTGGAGCGCCTGAACTTGCCTAGCTTATACTACAGACGGGCAAGGGATGACCTAATAGAGGTGTATAAGCATGTCAAGGGGCACTACTCAGTCGAGTGTCCTTACTTGGAGCTGGCGGACGCTCGCCCCACAGGGTGTCAGAGCTCAAGATTGAAGAACCCGCATGTCCAGAACACTCTGAGGGCAAGCTTTTTCGGAGTAAGGGTTGTGAACTCTTCGAACAATATGCCAGAAAGCGTTGTGACGGCACCGAGAGTGAGCTCTTTCAAGATAATACTTGACCAACACTGGAGCAGGTTCAGGTACATTCAGGAGCCGGTGCATGCCCAGTACTTGCCAACAGTGCGTAACAGAGACGTGACCGATCGCCCAAGCGGCTAACAAGCCGATGAGTGGTGAAGAGGATAAAATTAAAAGTAAAATTTGGAGCTGGAAACATTACAATACTCTTAAGTTTTGCATGAATTGGTTGTACCTGACCTTGACCCACAACGTATCCCAAGTATTCTACAGTAGCTTTTATAAAATCACTTTTCATCAAATTTACAGTGAGATTTGCTTTATTCAATCTATCAAACACTTCTCTACTTAGACAAACGTGATCTTTCCATTCCTCAGAATATAATATAATATCATCAATATATACAGAACAACCATTAACATCACGCAATACTTCATTCACTAATCTCTGAAAACAACTTCCACTGTTTTTTACTCCAAATGGTAACACTTTATACTGATACAGTCCATCGATTGTAACAAAAGCCGAGATTGCTTTCGCCCTCCCAATCAAACCCATCTGGCAAAACCCTTTCAGCAGATCAAATTTACTAAAAAAATCTAGCATCTCCAACCTGGTCAATACAATCATCAATCCTAGGAATAGGATAAGAATCAGTTTTAGTTTTATTATTTATCTCTCTATAATCTGTGCAAAATCTATAGGAAACACCACCAGGCTTAAGAACTAGAACACAAGGCTAACTCCATGGACGGTTACTGGGTTTAATCAAGTCATTCTCAAGCACATATTCAATTTCTTTCTTCATAA